AGTGGATATTTACTAGACATATACTGTTAACCACATTAACGGGGCCGCGCGAACGCAGCCCCTCACGCTAAACTCTAAACAGAGAGTGGCGCGCAGGTCCCTTGCTGGAGTTCTCTGATCAGCATGCGGGTGCTGCCAAGGAGTGAACCACCTCGGCGGAAAACCTAGCTTCAATGGAGCTTCGAATATGTTGCTCATGTCATCTCTTTTTCTGTCCCCATGCTGTATTGTACCATAGCAATGAATCTTTTCAATGCGAACTTCCCAAGAATGCTCGATCCACGAGCTCAGGTTGAGAAACGCTTTACTGATTAAGATAGTCACAGGGTCCCAGCGATTAAACTTGTTATTTTCATATGCGTAGAGGTGCTTTGTAAATGGTGTTAGCTAGCTCACTGGTGCCGCTTCTGATTCACAACCAACAAACGATATGGCTTGTGTTCGTCCAAAAACCATTCGCCAGCTTTGAAGCAACGACATGCCATCACTTTTTGCAGAGTTCTTAGTCTCTCTAGATATACATAGTTCTAGTATGGAAGAATTCCAACCCCTCAATGCTTGTGCGAATGAAGGAGGGCATTTATACAGGCAGGAACCCGAGAACCCATTGGATTTGCATTGAATTCCTGTGATGTTTCTGATGAAGCGCACTAAATCACCAAAAAACCTCTTTATTGGCTCAATGTCCGATGAAAGTTAGTATTGAATTTGTAGATACACTGCTAATAATTAGTGAGAGGTATCTTTGTCGCACAAAACTCACTGAGCTGAAACTGCTATAACGCTCAAGTCACAAAACTTAGTTTTTCAAGCAGCTATGTGCATTTCCTCAGTTTACAGCGATCACAAAGAGATCTTACATTGTGACAATCACATTGGTACTATACAATGGTAACGATTCTTAAACCAATAAATCATCGCCTTCTGTCACGTGGTGATTTCGACCTTGTACGCGAATGCTTTCGTTCTTTTCTTGGTGACCGTGAGGAAGAATCATGCCTAAAACCGCCTATGCATTAAACTTCAAATCAGTACAGCTAGCTTTATTAGTCTAAAACTTATGCTAATATAAGGACATCAGCATTTAGAAAAAACTGAAGAAATTTACGCGCAAAAAACAGCGTTAAAGCACAGCAAAGCATACCTTCGGCGTGGAGAATCTCTTCGTCGTCGATTTCCTTCATCTCGATCTTTCCTTCGATTTTCTTCGCTTCGTTCAATGTGATGACGTTCCTCCTTTTTGCGGGGACTTCCAGGCTCTGAAAAAAACGAGAAATTTTAATTATGGAAATACTGAAATTTTGGGAAAAATAAGAATGCTGAGATGTGGGCAAAACTTTCGCCTCTTGCTTTCCGGGCAATTGTGGTACCAGTTACATAACCGGGGCACCATTTCACCCCAACTCAGCTTCGTGGTGAATCTAAAAAGCAGCAGATCCGGGTACGAGACCTGGCTGGGGCGAAAGTTTTGCCCATAACACAGCATTATTGTGATAACTTTTGCAATGCGACTGTGGCATAGAACAGCAGTTATCAAAAAGAAACAATTCAAAAAATGTTTGCAAAGCAAAAAGCAAAGCAAAAGCATTCGCAAGGCGAGCTGCGGCCGAAAGCAGCAGTTAGCAATAAAAAACAAGTTAAAAATTCAAAAAAATATGCAAATACTAATTACCGATATAGCATTGTTTGAAGCGAGAGATTACGATAAAGGGTGGATGCGGCATGGAAGTAAATGCATTAGTGGAAGCAGTGGTCAGGAGACAGAGGATGCGATATGTGATCTATTCGTGACCCAAGGTGCGCTAGTTGCAGAACGCTGGGCTTGCCAATCCTCCCTGAGCTCCGCCTCCGCCTGAGCTCCGCCTATCAGTGGTTGCCAGCAGCAACATCGGTCGATGATCATTTTGGAAGGAAATCTCACTTTGAGCGGCCGTATCATATAACTTTTAAATGGAAAACGTTATCACAAAGCATGGTGTTTGCTGGCCTTATGACAGCTAT